TTGTATGATTACAAGGAAACCCTTTGTGCAGCTGGAAAAAAAGTTTTATTTCCTCCATGCCGTTAAGGCAAACATCTCTGATGATTTCATTGTTCCACAATGTGTGCCCTGAACAATTACTCCAAGGTGATGAATTCCTCTGACAGACAACCTGATGTGATTAAAAGTCATTTTAATGTTCAGAAAGGGCGTAAAGAGCAAAGCGTGAGTCTTACCGTGCCTGAACAAATACTTCAGAAATTATGTTTTAGAAAAGAGAACTGAACTCTAATTTACTAGCTGTAGTACACGTCAAGCTCATGTGCCCTCTTTTCTCAGAAAATGGCGTAGCACAAAAGGCAACTCAATCATGTCACCCAGAAGATGACACGACTCCTTTGACTTCACAAGTTCAGGACCCTCAACAAACAGGTGACTGCAATGTTGAAAAGCTCCCCTCAAACCTATTCCCGCAATTATGATGCTCTAGAGTTTATTAAGCACAGGAGGAAAGGGAGAAAAGAACGCCTGATAAAATCAAATCAACTGGTTACTCAACGCTGAAATGACAGTTTCCCTACCTGAATAAACACTGAAAACGACGCCTTTGGAGATTCAGTGAAGCAGCAAGTTAATTTATTTATTCATTTAGATATTACGAATACCTATCTCGTACCCTGAGCTCCATATGTACATTAAATAGGCACAAATGGTTCCAATCTTCATTACACAATTGAACTACGGTAAAGGCAGATATCCAGATACTTTAGGGAATGCTTAATTTCTGTGTAGAAGAAGGGAGTGCACAAAGGAAAGGAGCTGCATGCATATTACTTTCCGAGTAAACTGCTGACTGGAGCTAAATGGCAGACCAACTATTTCCAGGCCACCCTTCCATCTTTGCCCTGCTAAAGAAAGAAAATCAGCAAATAATGTATCTGTTTTGAATCAGAGAAAACATCACTCCAAAGCTAAAAGTAAGCCAGGGACATTAAAAACAATAAAAAGGGATTCTTTTCTTATGTCAGTAGAAAAAGGAAAAACAAGGAGGCGATAGGGCCTCTTCGAGGAGAAGATGGGGCAATGCTGACAGGGGATAGGGAAAAGGCAGAACTACTTAATGCCTTCTTTGCCTCGGTCTTCTCACAAAGTCATCTTCAACCTCAGCAAGATGGAGTGGATGAGGGATTAGAGGACATCCAACCCCAAATTGGGAAACAAGTCGTCCAGGAATACCTGGCCGCTCTAAATGAGTTCAAGTCCCCAGGGCCAGATCAACTACACCCAAGAGTATTGAAGGAACTAGCGGAAGTCATCTCGGAACCATTGGCAATCATCTTTGAGAGTTCTTGGAGAACGGGAGAAGTTCCAGCAGATTGGAGGAGGGCCAATGTGGTCCCAATCTTCAAGAAGGGAAAAAAGGATGACCCAAACAACTACCGTCCGGTCAGCCTCACGTCGATACCAGGCAAGATTCTGGAAAAGATTGTTAAGGAAGTGGTCTGCAAACACTTAGAAACAAATGCTGTCATCGCTAATAGTCAACATGGATTTATCAAAAACAAGTCATGCCAGACTAATCTGATCTCTTTTTTCGATAGAGTTACAAGCTGGGTAGATGCGGGGAATGCCGTGGATGTGGCGTACCTGGATTTCAGTAAGGCCTTCGACAAGGTCCCCCATGACCTTCTGGCAAGGAAACTAGTCCAATGTGGGCTAGGCAAAACTACGGTGAGGTGGATCTGTAATTGGTTAAATGGACGAACCCAGAGAGTGCTCACCAATGCTTCCTCTTCATCTTGGAAAGAAGTGACGTGGAGTGCCGCAGGGTTCCATCCTGGGCCCGGTCCTGTTCAACATCTTTATTAATGACTTAGATGAAGGGCTAGAAGGCATGATAATCAAGTTTGCAGACGACACCAAATTGGGAGGGATAGCCAATACTCCAGAGGACAGGAGCAGGATTCAAAACGATCTTGACAGATTAGAGAGATGGGCCAAAACTAACAAAATGAAGTTCAACAGGGACAAATGCAAGATACTCCACTTAGTCAGAAAAAACAAAATGCAAAGATACAGAATGCCCGCCTGGCTTGAGAGTAGTACGTGTGAAAAAGATCTTGGAGTCCTTGTGGACAACAAGTTAAACATGAGCCAACAATGTGATGTGGCGGCAAAAAAACCCAATGGGATTTTGGTCTGCATCAAGAGGAGCATAGTGTCTAGATCTAGGGAAGTCATGCTCCCCATGCTCTATTCTGCTTTGGTTAGACCACATCTGGAATATTGTGTCCAATACTGGGCACCACAATTCAAGAGAGATATTGACAAGCTGGAATGTGTCCAGAGGAGGGCAACTAAAATGATCAAGGGTCTGGAGAACAAGCTCTATAAGGAGCGGCTTAAGGAGCTGGGCAGGTTTAGCCTGAAGAAAAGACTGAGAGGAGATATGATAGCCATGTATAAATATGTGAGAGGAAGCCACAGGGAGGAGGGAGCAAGCTTGTTTTCTGCTTCCCTGGAGACTAGGACGCGAAACAATGGGTTCAAACTACAAGAGAGGAGATTCCATCTGAACATGAGGAAGAACTTCCTGACTGTGAGAGCCGTTCAGCAGTGGAACTCTCTGCCCTGGAGTGTGGTGGAGGCTCCTTCTTTGGAAGCTTTTAAGCAGAGGCTGGATGGCCATCTGTCAGGGGTGATTTGAATGCAATATTCCTGCTTCTTGGCAGAATGGGGTTGGACTGGATGGCCCATGAGGTCTCTTCGAACTCTGATTCTATGATTCTATGAAAAGTAAGTAACTGGTCAAGAGAAGACAGGACTCATTAGAAAAGACTGGAGGGTGCCCATTTCACTCCAGCTTTTGGAGAGATGTTGTGTCAAAGAGGGAATTTCAGCAGGTGCAACCAAGTAACAAAGCAATACCTGCTGGCATTCTCTTTTCTACCCAACCATTAAAGGTACAATAACCCTCTCCAGTTTTTGCTCTGACAACCCTAAAGGTCACTTGTTCTCAAAAGGCTTAGAGAACAGGAACAGATATGTTGTCCTAGAAAAAAAGCTGAAAAGGAATATATAACTCCAATACATATAAATCTGCAAGACACTTGGTATGAGATCTTTGGTACTACTCACTGCATTAGCAACAACTCAAGATGGGAATGTAAATCTGGGCGCCGGAAATCAATTCTTTGTCAGTATTCTGCTAAACTGGGATTTTCTATTCCTCTGACCTGATTTGCATTGCACTGCATCACACTGGCAACAAAGATCCACCTAGTCAAAGCCATGGTATTCCCTGTAGTAACCTACGGATGTGAGAGCTGGACCTTAGGGAAGGCTGAGCGAAGGAAGATCGATGCTTTGGAACTGTGGAGTTGAGGGAAAGTTCTGAGAGTGCCTTGGACTGCGAGAAGATCCAACCGGTCCATCCTCCAGGAAATAAAGCCCGACTGCTCATTGGAGGGAAGGATACTAGAGACAAAGTTGAAGTACTTTGGCCACATCATGAGGAGACAGCAAAGCCTAGAGAAGACAATTATGCTGGGGAAAGTGGAAAGCAAAAGGAAGAGGGGCCGACCAAGGGCAAGATGGATGGATGGCATCCTTGAAGTGACTGGACTGACTTTGAAGGAGCTGGGGGTGGAGACGGCCGACAGGGAACTCTGGCGTGGGCTGGTCCATGAGGTCACGAAGAGTTGGAGACGACTGAACGAATGAACAACAAGCACAGACCAATGTCACTTTCTTTCTAAGTGGAGAGTATTTTAAACTGCTCTATAAGCAGGAACATTTGGCACTTACACCATATCAAGAAGGAATAGACCTTAGGTTATAAAACTATAGTATATCTGCCTTTACCGTAGAAAATATAGCCTATATTCATCACATATTTGATTATGGCTATCCATGATATTCCTGCTGGATTAATTCAGTTTAGTTTCATGCTAAGAAAAGTCAGGGATACACTAGATATTGACTTAAGTAATGGAGCAACCCTGCAGCTTCAAGGTGATGTGGACAGCAGGATCAGATCCTATTTGTACTGATCTGCACTGCCACTGTCCCCTTTTCTCCGTGTTTGTAAGATTATGCCCATGTTGTTGTCACTCCTAGTTGGCTACAGAGCTCCATATGAGGTACTGGTCAATTTGAGCACCTAGTTTTGACCTCATGTGACCAGGAAGAAGGTGGGGAGATCATCCCTCCTTTCTCCTGGTCATGTAGACACCTCTGCTAATGTCAGCACAGAAGCCTGCAATGGCTAGGAGCTTTGTGGCCATCTGGGAGCACCACTGGAGACAAGGACAGGAAGATGACAGCCTAGTAAGACTAATGTGGTCTTGGCTTGACTGGATCATTTGGATTCCAATCCATCACTGCCTCAGGATTGAGATGGTGCATGTGGATATCTCTGGATTGGCCCTGGGTTAGTTGGCCAGTGTAGTCATGGCCTTAGTTATCTATAGCGATGTTAAAAATGACTAAATTCCATTGTATTGCTCTACAACTCAACTGCATTTTCTTTTTGGGGTTTGTTTTGTATTGAGGATGATGAAGCTTCTTTACTCGCTGAAATTCACAAAAATGCTTTATATGCATTATTCTAATTTGTAAATTTATTTGTGCTATTTAATGAATGTGTTCCTATTGAGTAACCTGCATTTTGGCTCCATTTGTTCAGTGAGGTGCATTTGACATATTGGTATTTTAAAATATGTGCATTTGTTTGATACCCAGCTCGCACCCGCCATTCCTAATTTTAATCTACCTCACAGTGTTGCTCTAAGACAAAACAGTGCCATGAGGGAAGGATATAAACTTATTAAAAAATGAGACCTTACATACAAGTGGTATATCTGCCCTTGCAGGGATTGTTCCACATCTTTTGATGTCTATGAAATCTTGCAGATGAGAAAACAATGCAAATACCAAATAGCTCTCGAGTCCCTTTTGCCTGCCATGATACCTCCCTTCCAGGCCCAAACTTTTTCATTTCCCTGGGTGACTTAACTTACCCTTATCATCAGAACAGCTTTCCTGATGTCACGAACTCCATCATAAACCAAGCGGGAGGCATCTATGAACTCATTCTCTTCAAACGGCTGCGGGACGTTTGCACTTAGGGCTTCAATGGCGACTTCGACTTGTTCGGCAAAACGTGGCATAACTAGATTAAACCAAATGAAAGGCAGTGAGAACGCAGGCCTCCTTTCATGTCCCTTCCCCTCTCTTGTCCTTGGGCATCTGTACTTTCCAGCTGGCCTGGAACACACGCTGCTCGATGTAGCATCAGGGCAGGGAAAAGTTTGGCAAACAGCTTTAAGCCAGCAGGGTAAATATGTGAATCCCAAAGGGGAGCAAAACCCTCCTTATCTATCACCTCAGATAGTATGCGATGAAGAATTTAACAGTTACTCCTAGAAGCAATAAGGCAAATGTATGACGTTTAGGTTCAGCATATCCCTGTTTCGGCTCCAAATTAATTTCTTTGATGACCTCTCTACTGAGCCTTAAGCAGATAATGGCAAAACCATTCCTTGGGTGGCTCCTGAAAGTCCCTCAGTTGGTTAAGTTGCCACCCATTTTAGTATTTTTAAAATAAGTTTTGTACAAATAATACAAAATGGAAGGGTTGTAGAGGAGCATGAAAATTTGAAAGGAACAACTAGTAAAATATATAAGATAATAGTTGAAATAAAGGAAGCAAAAACAAAAAAACAACACCCTTAAGGAGGTTTGGGAAGAAGATTTAGGGACAAAAATAAATGAAATAGAGTGGTAACAATTATGGAGACAAAGACATCTAAAAAAATTATCAATATGGGTTAAACAAAATTATTATAAGTTAATATGGAAATGGTATCTAACACCAGTAAAATTTGCACATATAAATAAAAATTATTCAAAAAATTGTTGGAGAGGATGTCAAAAACCAGGAACATATTATATACATATGTGGTGGCAATGTAAATATGTAAATAATTTTGGGGGAAAGTATTCAGTGAAATAGAAGATATAATGAATATTATAATAGAAAGAAGTCCTAGTATAGCTTTATTATCATTCTATAACAATAAACAATTGAAAAAAGGGGATAAAGAAGCGATAACAAATTTATTAACAACAGCAAGATTGCTTATAGCAAGGAACTGGAAAAAATAAATAAATATACAAATAGAGGAGTGGTACAAGGAAGCATGGAAATTGGAAATAAATGATAAGCTGACATGTATATTAAAAGTTAAAAGAGGTATAACGAAACAAAGTGATTTTGATGATGTATGGAGAAAATTTATTTTAAAGGATAAAAAATAAAGAAGGAAAGTTACCTCCACAAGAAGAATTGAAATTTTGGACAGACGACATGTAAAAGTTGTGGCTTGAGAGTGGGGGGGGGGGGGGGAGCACAGTGGTGAGGAATAGAAGATATGTTTAAGCAGAATAATAATACTAGATTTTATTTATTTATTTATTTATTTATTTACGTCACTTATATCCCGCCCATATCAGCCCGCAGTATGTTAGTTGTATTGAATAATGTGTATCTGCTGTAAAACAAATGTATAACAAATGTATTAACTATGATAAAATAATAAAAAAAATTAATAAAATAAGTTTTGTGTTTGGATTTCAATTGAGGCCACAGGTAGTCTCTCGATGACTGAACTGGATGGAACAGTATGGGTTCATTGGTACCAGGTGACCATGATCTGGCTATAGACACCCAGCACTACATGCCCAGGTAAGAGGTATCAAAACAGCAAACATTTTTATTTGCACATTATTTTATTTTAGACCAGCTTCAGGAGACACCAAAAACAACAACACTCCTTTCCCTTAATATTATGATTCAAATTGCATAATTTAAGATTCTATCTCTTCTGTTCATATCATTCACTGAATCATAGACCTATAGAGTTGAAAGAGGCAGTCACCTCATCCTAAAAAAAATTAGCCACGTTAGCCTACTCATCCAAAATAGTGGACACTTCAGTTCACCATGGAATGGCTGTTGCAATATTAGGTAACTTCACTGTTGATTGGTGACATCCAAGGGGCTTGTGCGTATTCACCTAGGTGGATGTTTGTAATTGGGCCCGGTATATATCTCCTAAAATACATGTATAAGACTATGGTATAAAAGCAATGCCTGATGTCCTTATTTCATGTTCCAAAATTTATTTTAGCACCTATGAGTGAATTTCTGTATTCTAAATCTCCAAATGAAACAACTAAACTAATATAATAATAATAATAATAATAATAATAATAATAATAATAATACTTTATTTATACCCCGCTACCATCTCCCCAGGGGACTCGTGAGGCTTACATGAGGCCGAGCCCAAAATACAGCAATACAAGCAATAACAATACAAGCAATTTAAAAACAACAAAACAATAAAACAATAACATAAGCATTATCAATAGGACAACACACTTTAAAATCTATGGGTAGGCTAAATGTAGTTAAAATTAAAAATAATGCTGGACATGGGCGAAAAAGTGATGACTTTTGTCTGTCTGTATCTTAAACTAAGATCTGTTCCTCTTTGGAGGACTGGGAGGTAACAAATGTTTGATCAAAATTGTCTTTACTGTAACCTAAAAGCATTAGCTCAGATTCTAATTTCTGAGGCAGGAGAGAATAACCCTGCCCACTGCTTTCTGCGACACAGCCTTTATTTAAAGATGGCAATCATGTCACCCCCCCCCCCCCAAGTCTTCACTTTGCCAAGCTGGACATGCCCAAGTAGTTCTACCTTTCCTTATATGAATTAATTTGTTTGTTTACAGTATTTATATTCCATCATTCTCACCCCGAAGAGGACTCGGAGTGGATCACAGAACACATATATGGCAAATATTCAGTACCGTTATACACTGACAAGACAGACAACTGTACATAGATAGAGGTATATATAGACTTTCAAATCTTCGGCATCTTGGAGGCTGTGCGTTATAAGCTGCACCTTGAATTGAGCCTGGAAACTTGTCAGAAGCCAGTGGAACTGCTTCAGCAGGGCCGTGATATGTTCCCTGTTGCTCCCTCCAGTTAGTAATCTGGCAGTCGACCTTTGGACTAGCTACAGTTTCCAAACCATCATCAATGGCAGCCCCATGTAGAGTGCATTGCAGTAGTCCATTCTGGATGTAACTAGGGCATGGTCCACTGTGGCCAAATCATACTTTTAGAGGTATGGTCGCAGCTGGTGCACAAGTTTTAACTGTACAAAGGCCATTCCAGTGCTGAGTCTAGGAGGACCTCCAGACTGTGGAGTTGTGTCCTCTGGGAGAGTGTAACCCTATTGAGCATAGGTTGCCATTTTATACCCTAATCAGCCTTGCGACTGACCAAGAGGACCTCTATCTTGTCTGGATTAAGTCTCAGCTTGTTGGCCCTCATCCAGTCCATCACAGCTGCCAGGCACTGGTTTAGGATCTGGGGAGCTTCCCTGGAATTCAGTAGTAGAGTTGTGTGTCATCTGTGTAGAAATGACACCCAACTCCAAAACTATGGGTGGTCTCACCCAGCAGTGCATGGTGGAAAGAATGGAACCTTGCGGGACCCCACAGGTCAAGCGTCAGTGGTCCAAACAGGCATCATCCCCCAGCATCACCATCTGGGTATGATCCTTCAGGAAGGAGAGGAGCCACTGCAACACCATGCCCCCAAGACCCATTCCAGAGAGGTGACCCAGAAGGATACCATGGTTGATGATATCAAAAGGCACTGAGATGCCCAAGATAACCAACAGGGATTGGCCAAAATCTGATTGTTAATCTCAATTAGCACAGACCCCTAAATCAATAGAAGTGTTAGTGGGCCTGCTATACTTGGAACCAACAGCAGCATTCATCCATAAAAAATGCTAACTTCTTCTTCTTAATCAGGTAAAAAAACCAACAGCAACTCAAATTTGGGATAAAGCCAATCTGGCATGTTTGTCCATTACTTTTCATGGATAAGGGATTCCAGACCAAAGTGTGTAGGCATCTATATCATTAACTCTAATTTGATAAATCAATAGCCGAACACTAGCTGGTCAAATCAGGCCCTGTCTCCTTGACAACAGCTCTGGCTTGTCCCAGAATTCAGGTGTAGGTTGTCGTGAGTACTCCATAATATGCCTGGTAGTTAGCTTTGAATTCATAGAGCACAGTCACCTTCAAATTGGATAAAATGTCTCACATAACCTTTTACTCACTTTAGCCTACAAACTCTAATATAGCTAGCTATGAACAAGTAGTTGCTTCTTTCTACTAAAATCTGACACACAAGGTTCCTTAAAGTACATGTGAGAAAAACCTGTTCTTAAATTCCACCAATGTGTAGAACATGAAAGATGCTAATGGCTATATGTGAGCCATTCCCAGTATTAATGGTTGGGGCACGCATGCATACTTTATGAATATGCACATAATGGCCACATTCATTTTTTATTCCTGCAATATATAGATGCTTATGATGGCTTTGATAGGAAAGGCAGGAAAAATCGAGAAAACTGTTTTGCTGAGTTGCACAGAAGTGCTGACCGCATTGAACAGCTTTTTAAAAAATGGAATTCATTTGAAATTGAACTGATTCTATGCTGGGATGATGTTCAGCATTTGCGTGATGTTGACAAGGAGTGAAGGCAGGACCCAACTAGTCAAAGTTTTTAGAACTGAGGTTAAGGAATTGAGAACTAAGAGGTAAATTCTTTTCTACTTACGTGGCAAACAGTAAAACTTATTTTTTCCCTCACTAAATGATTTCAGGCATTTGTTTCAGCTGCACAGCAAATGTACACATTTGTACACTTTCTACGCAGTATTGTAATTTCTGTAATTTTGAAAAATACATTTTTTGTCTTGTGCCATCACACCCAGACCCTATAACATTAAAACTAAGATGTGCTTCTCTCTTTATCTGGGCGAACTGCTGGGGGTCTTTCTTTGAAGCAATAACTCAATACTTTGAGCAACTGATGCCAGTCAAGATATGAACATCAACAAAATGTTTATTTCCAAAGTCCTTGGCAGACTTGGCACAGCTTGATAAAGTTACAACACAAACAGTCAATTTGAGAAATCATAGAGATGTTCTTTCTTTCCCTTTTTCTTCAATTACTGAGGTAAGCTTTCTCCAAATGGTAGAAAAAATCCTGAGATATTTTACCCTAA